CCCCCAGCCTCTAACACAGACCTCTTTAATTTATGGTATCTGAAGTTAATATTTCTTGAGGCATGAACAACTACAACCATAGATATTGACTCCTACCTTTCCTTGTGCCATTGTTCGATGAGCTGTGACATGCCTCTTAAGTAATCCATGTCATGCACTGCAATTGGCTGAGAGAGGTTCATTGGCATAGGATGGAAGACAGCCTGGAGACATGACAGCCAGTCAATAGCAGGTGCCTTTTCCTAGAAGCAAAACAAAGCTTACGTGCTGAACAGTTGACTGACAAGAAATAATAGGGAAACTGGGATAATCTCTCTAATACTGTTAAGAGATACTTTCAAGAAGTTAAACTGGTTTTATGATGTGGATATTGATTACAGAGAGAGAGCTGTGGGCCTGAAAAATCCAGCTGTTGTCAATAAAAACCGTAAGTTAATAGGTTATGTAAAGTTCACAGACTCCAAGTGTAAGCTGCAAGGGAAGGGCATCTAAACAGAGTGTCTCATATCACTTTTGATCTGGATCTTCAAAATGTGAATGTCACACGTAATCGTGTTGCTCTAGTTGTAAGGTATAGATACCTGTAGCTCCCTAATGGTAGTGCGAAAGAACAGCATCCCCCTCTGCTGCCTTTCCTGCAGTGGGGTGACAACTTGCTGGAGGTTAGAGATGAAGGACAAGGTAAGAGAAAAGGAATCAGGGGGACCATCCTGTGGCCCTCCAAGTAGGACCCCCAGTTTCTTCAAATATGAGAGATACACACGGAGAACCTGCAATACAGAGCATACGACCAGTGGGAGAAACATGACTGAAAATTAGTCACCCCATTCATCCATCCATCCATCCATCCGACCATCCATCTTCACCATATAAGTTTCAATCTTTCAAAACCACTGCAGCCCCATCCCTAAAACTGTCTTCTTCACTGCTACATCCCTATGTAATTCTTCATGTGGAATACAGTTTGCCAAGTACAGCTCCTCTCTCAGTGAAGAACACTGAATTCCCAAAAGGTTAGTTTTGTCCCAGCTTGCAATTACGTTAAATACCAGAATCATTTGAGAGATGTGGGCCTGCCATCTCTGGAGTCAAAGGAGAGAGATGTAGTGATACAATAAGCCAGTATTTTTGATGGAGAGAAAATGCCAGCTTCTTGCTTCTATGTTCATGAGGTATCAAAGTAATGCTTGTGATGGGTAGGCTTATTTTTTGAGGACTCTTCTGAAAGAGTCAGACTGAGAAACTGAAAGCAACTCAGTTTTTATAAAGTTCAGAAAAATGACAGAGCTGTGATGAAATTAACTTTGTTGCAATAACTCCCAAGGTCAAAGAGCTTGTTTCCCCAGCTTAGGTTAAAACATTTTAAAATAACTTTAAAAATGCTAGCTACCCCTCCCCCAATACACAGATTTTACATTATAAAGCCTTACTTTGGACAAGAACATTTTTTTAAACATTCATTCAAGGTGAAACCTAGAGGGAAGTCCAGGTTCACATTACTTAGCAAATACAAATTAAAACTATAACATTCTGTTTCGACACTAGAAGTTTTAAACCTGGCATCTAAAAATGGGTTACATTTTACAAACTATCTTTTTGGAAAAGTAGAGAGTTTTGTAAATAATTCCTTCTGGAGACATTTTCAGAAATCACTGACCGTAACCCATGGAAACAGACCACTCTGAACCAGGAGGCAATTCAAGGAGATCCCTACACCAAATAGCTATTTTTACCTTTCTTCTGCCTCTGATATGTTACCTCAAGATAATTTTTCTCTTTGAATTTACTCTCAGGTGGCATCTCAAACTCAGGATGGTCAATCTGCAAAAAGGAATAAAGGAAAAACATCTCGCTTTTTCCAGAAACACTGGAAATGTGAGGATATGTTCAACAGGCTTTATTTGTTTCTGTGTCACAGAATTTGAAATGTTAATAAATTGCTTTTACTTTTGGAAAATGTTTGCTAAGTAATTTTTGCAGATCTGTCGTATTCTGCAGCTTATTTACAAGATCATTACAAATCTGCAGTGACTGATATTCAAATATAAACCACATGGTTAAATATTTCTACACGGTGCACTGCTTTTGGCTAGGAGAGACTTAAATTTCTTCATAGTAGCTTGTATGGGGCTATGTTTTGGATTTGTCATGAAAACAGCATTGATAATACAGGGATGTTTTAATTATTGCTGAGCAGTGTTTATCCAGCATCAAGGCCTTTTCTGCTCCTCACACCACCCCACCAGCAAGTAGGCTTGGGTGCCCAAGAAGTTGGGAGGGGACACAGCTGGGACTGCTGACCCCAACTGACGAACAGGATAGTCCATGCCGTATAACATTGTACTCAACAGTAAAAGTGGGGGGAAGGAGGTTGGCCAGGGCTGCCATTGCTTGGGAACTGGCTGGGCAGTTGGTGGTGAGCAGTTGGGGTTTTTTTGCATCACTTCTTTTTTTTCTTTCTTTTATTTTTTTTTTTAGTTATTAAACTGTCTTTTTCTCAACCCATGAGTTTTCACACTTTGACCCTTCTGATTTTCTCCCCCATTCCACTGGTTGGAGGAGTGAACAAGCAGCTGTGTGGTGCTTAGCTGCCTACCAGGTTTAAACCACAACAGTGAGCTGCAAAATTCATAGTACACTATGTGTATTATACACATAGCGTCCGTTATTGTACTAGTCTTACCCATGAACATAAGAAGAACCAGACCCTTCCACAACAAAGTACAATCTGCACTGTCAGGCAGAAGAGATGAGAAGAAAGTAAGCAATTTATTCTTCCTCATCTGCTCATTTTCCAGAAATAAGTGCTTTTTATGTAATAAAATCAAGAAGTTTTTACTGAAATTTAGGAAAACTTTCTTCAGAGAAGAACATAGGGTTAACTTGAGCAAGCCTGGGTCTCATGGGCTGTGTAACTGACTCTTTATTCCCAGTGCTTCCTGATAGTTTTCTTTCTTTAGTCCACTCACCTGAATAATATTGGTCTTGAGGTCAAAAGGACTAGGTCCCACGTGGACTCTGAAAAAGGGAAAGGTGCTGTATCTGCCCATGAGAATCTGAAGAGTTTCATTAAAATCTTTTGCTTTCCCCACACCTGTGATATTCCATCCACCAACCTAGAGAGGGAGAGGCACAACATGACAGCAGGTGAGAAAAACACTTGTTTGATCCATATTTACAATTTTTTTTTTCCATTCCTATGAGCTCAGTCATTATGACAACTGAAAAGCGGCAAAGCAAATAGCAACAGGGGAAACTCATGAAGATTTCTACATACGCTGTTGGCTTTAAAATGACCTGTCACTTTCACTTAAGCAAAGCAACGAACTGCAAAGTGACACAGGGAAAAGGAATTATAATTATCAACAGACAAGGTGTACAGGAGAAAAGCAGAAGGAGGAGAGAGGAAAGAGGTCTTATTTTTCTAAAGCCACCCAGAAGGACAACCAGGGATCAGAGATTACAGGTCCTGCCTCCCTGACAAGCGAATTCACAGGTTCTGCTTCTGCTGGAATGTTCTGCATGCTCATTGGAGACAGGGCATAAATGCTCTTTGCTGGAGGTAGATGCACAACCTTCCCCAGCACTGAGAGGAGTCTCCCAGAATGGAAAGAGGAGCATTTTCCTCTTTAAACAAGCTCTCCTGAAGCCTGAAGGAGTGGATGACAATAAGATCTTAGACACAAAAATTTCAGCCGTTTTGCAAGATGTTCCCTGATCTGTAATTTGGATCCTATTGAACTGAGCTTCTGAGATTAAAAGTGATCCCTCTTTCCTTTTCCCTGGAGGAATTATCTTCTGGAGGGAGAGGAAATAGTACAAACATTCACCTGATTTAGGAGGTCCTTCAATGGTTGACTTCCTTGGGATTCTATCCGTTGGGTATCCATGCAGGAGCGATAGAACTGGATTGCTTTCTCCTTAGCTGAGCCTCTTATCCCAAACTGTGGGCCCTCTGAGAAAAAAAAATAGATGAAAAACTACAAAAGTGGTAAAAAAAAAAAAAAAAAAAGTTGGGGCAGTATTAGACCAGAGAAAAGTTGTAAGAAATATTACACTGTACTTTGATTCAGAACAATTTTGTAAATACATCCACTTTCCCACAGTCACTCAAAGCAAGAGACCTTCTAGTGCCATGGCTCTTCCTGAGTCCAAATATCTGAGTTTCTTTGCATGGAAACAGGAGCACAACAGGAAGGTGGTGCATATCAAGGCTTCAGTCCTACATGGAGTCAGGACACGACCAGAGTGCATGTTCAGACAAGCACAACAAAAAGGGTCTACTTTTACAAGGCAATAGGAAAATGGTTTGGGTTGCTGTCAGAATTTTAAAGGGTGACTTTCGTCTGTTACACTTGGCAAGGGGAACTAAAATGTTTAAACTGCAGCTATTGTAATATGACATGCTCAAGAATAAATCTGTACCTGTAATGACAGAAGAACGAAGAGACTGGACTCAGTCCCTGTTAGGAATGATTGTGCTCTCAGTTATTAGTATTCCCAGCTCTGATTGAGGAAGATGCTGAAGGTAACACACCAATCATCTGTCCCTACCTAAAAGCCTTTTCAGGATCAACTGGTTTTCTTCCAACAACACATCAAATACATTTAGTGATTCTTCTGTGGTTCTGCTTGACTGTTTGCCTTCCCAGCTGCCACAGGCATATTTGTAGAAATCCTCACAGGGGTCTACAGTGTCATTCCTAGAATTCAGGAGTCTGGCCAACAGTGTAAGACCCAGCTCGGCATCACAGGATCCTGGGCAGGAAGTAAATAGGAGAGAACTGAGCAGTGACAGTGGAGAGTGAGAACAACTCCAAACAAACAAAAAAAAAGAGTTATCTGTGGGACATTTCCCCAGAAAGATTTATTTTTGATATGAACTCCTTTGCATGCAGAGTGTTGAATTCCTTGTAAGGTTTTCCTGAATATAGAACAACGTGTGTTCTCTCTTTCACTTCACAGGAAATTGCCTTTGCACTTTATAAGGGAGAGTCTTTAAATAAAGTACAGGCAATTGGTCCAGAGGTGGTATTCTCTGTTCTTACTATCTAGGCAGTCACAGGTTGGATTATTCTGCCTTCTCAGTGTATTTTCTCCGAATCAGCCAAATTTGGCCAAATGATAAACAAGAAGCAACTGATGGTGTCAGCACATGAAGCAAAAGAAGGACATAGCACACAGAAAGTAAGGAGTTAAGTTTAAAACGTGGAGGGGCATGTTCAAGCATGGGAAACATTTCTCAGCAATGACATTTGTTAAAACAGGACAAAGACTTTCTAGTACATGTTGCTTTGATCTAAAACTCCCTTTATCTAAACCGCTGCAAATCACTGGGTATGTGTTCTCATTTTGGTTCAGTGTCTTGTATCAACATCAGATCAGATCAATTACTTGCTGAAATAAGCCACTTGTAAATCAAAGTAAGACTTTCCATACTATGGTTTCAACAGTTGACATGGGAGGAGATAGGCCGAGTGGAGACAGACAAGATCTAAACTAACAGTCTTTCCTTGGTCTCTCTAGTGAATGGTCTCCAATACATAACAGGGGGTAAAGAAAAATGCTAGGTGGAGTCAATAATGTTTATTTTGGAGCAGGGAATGTCTGTATCCACCAATATAAATGCACCTTCAGTTCTGAGTGTTCTATATGCATAAATATCTACATGGACCATTCTGCAGCCAGTTGTTTAGCAAATTTGAAAGGCAAATTAATATTTCTGGTCTATGCTTACAGCTCCCCCATTAGCAAGAGACTATGACTTTGTACACTATGACTGCACTGGTCTGTGCTAGAAAACTAGGACTAGACTTAGTAAGTCAGAGATGGAAATGTGGAGGAGGAGCTCCAAATGTCAGATTCAGTCCAGTTTCCTGGAGGTGACTACAGACAGAGCATGACACAATGATGAGATGCAAGACAATATAATGATGCTCTCCCTCAAAACTGGGCCCAGGCATATTAAATGGCAGGCAGAGGAGGAGGACAGGTGTGGGATCTCTCCCCACTATGACCCAAGGAAGAGGCAGAACAGTGTACCTTTTTTACAACTGGTGTTAGGATTCTTTGAGATTCTGAAAGTCTGATTCTTAACACAGATGTTAAGTCTAATACACAGTGGAGGAAGGTAGGAGAGAAAGGAGTCTTACAAATGGAGTGGATGAGGAAGCAGGGAAAAGGGTATCCCGTATTATACCTAGACCACAAGTCATCATGATGTAGGTGATAAGCAGTGTAAAGCCAAGGAGAGTACTGAGAAGAAGTGTACACAGAAGTAGGCTTTTCCCCTGAAGGCATCGTTCTTTCTTTGCACCTGTTCTCAGCTCCTGGTCAGAGGTCTAAAGAGAGAAAAATGAAACAAACAGAAAAAATGAAGAAAGAAAAATTCATATTAAAGTTAGCACTGGTCATATACTCCGTCTTCCACCTAATCTACTAGAAAATCACTCACAGGACTAGTGCCAGAACACCAACAGTCGTCCAAGTCATCTAGGTGACTATACTCTGGGGGATTTCTTACCTCTTTCATTTCCCTGTCTTTTCCAGCTACAGCTGTTGCACAGTGTTATGAATTATGCGTTGAAAAGCCAGCTTGCCATGAGGGAGGCCTGTCCCTCTGTAGTTCCTTCTGGTCTATGGAATCAACTTGCATATACCTCCTGAAGATATCAAAGCCTTTTTGAGCCCATAAAGCTAATAATGGGATGGACTGGTGATTCTTTATTCTGTTACAATCTGGCAACCTGAACACTAATTTCAGATCTCTCCTCAAGAAACAACTCCTGCATCCTAAGCCCTCTAGTCCAGTTCAAGTGGGACAAAAGATTTGCCCTATTCTAAAAACTGCAATAAGCTGTAAGTCACAGAGAAGATCTTATATACAGACAGGTTTTTATCTCACTTAAATTTAGTTGTGTTCATAATCTAGGTGTGTCTTTTTAGTCAGTGGAGAAGGCTAGGCACCTTATGAGTACAGCTTCTATTTCAGACATCTGTCTTAGGATGAGCTGAAGCATCCTCCAGTGACCTGTCTTTTTCTCCATTGACTGCAAAGGAAGCTAGATGACTATGTTAGGTTACGCCCCTAACATCTACCTGGATAAAGTTAGGTAAAATGGCATTTACTGTGTGAGTCCACTGCTTCTACATGCTTTGATGTACATAAGTCTGGAGAACAGCAGATTACAAGAGAACAGACATGGGAATAGATGCTGGTAATATAAGGAAAGGGAAAAAACTTGAAAAATGAAAAGCGGAATAACTGAATAAGAATATACAGTGAGAAAAAAGGAGGCAAAAGGGAAAAAAACAGAAGATAATAGAAAACCTGGGAGGAAAGAGGGATAGAGAAGAAACAGTATAGGAAGCAAGGAGTAAATCTCGTAGGTGTGAAAGCTGCTGGAAGTGCTACTTTCAGAGTCTTACATGCCAGTGTCAGGGCCTGGCCTGTATTGCCCCCACAGCCTCAAGTTTAGCTCCCTGTGCTTAAGCCTGGTTCTCTGATAAAAGCAAGCTGTTTGAGAAACCTTGACAGGCCTTGGAGCTCTTTGAGAAAAAGCTAGAAGCAGCCTCAGTGGACGTGCCCATTTCTTCACTTGGGAGCTGCTTTTTGCAGCTCTCATGAGTGATCCCCATCTGAGCTATGCTGCAGCAGCAGCCATGCCTATGGCTGGCCATGTACTCCATTGATCTGGATCCTGAGCTTAACATACAGACTTGATTCTACAGGTTTGACCTTGGACTTGCCTCCTTGCAATGGACTTGCCTGGCAGTCTACACTCTTGGTTGACCCTGGCTACTGTCACCAGACCTGCCTTACCTCCCTTCATTCCTATACTGTGGGGGTGTACTGCTTGCTGGTAAAATCATTACTTGTTGTCTGCCTTGTCATGACTCTCAGGTTCTAGATTGTCTGCCCTTGCTGCTCCTTTATATGCAGCAGCTAAAATGCATTTGTCACCGCACTCGGTATCGATCTTTGCCACAGAAAACATAGATCTTTACAAAAATCACAAGAAGAAATGAAGGAAAATCCTACAAGAATTAAGTACCTCACAGCATATACCCCTTCACCTGAGGAAAGGCTAAGGAAATGAATGAGTCTGCTGTTAATCATCTTGCCTAATATACTATGCACAATTCCCATACAAAAACATTAACAGAACAGAAAACACAGAAAGAAATACAAAAACAGACCTCATCCTTTTATATCTTTCAAACATGCATTTTATTCAGTCAGTAACAGAAGCCTCTCAAAAGCATATGTCAGCTTACTTGACTCATGAAAACTGCTGACAAGATTTAAATACCTAGCTGCTTTTCTCCCTTTAAAATCCTATTCTCCTGACTTCTTTAGGCAGGATACAGAATAACTAAGTGGAGAGCAAGTACATACAAGTAAATCCTGGCATTAAAAGGTGCTAGGTACAGAACATGACAATACTGGCAAAGTACTGTGTAGGAAATCTAAACAAGGAAATCCAAATTCCTTTCATACGCCCCTATAGTAAAACGCTTTAGCTTTTATTCCTCAAGTGGAGAGTAAGTGTCACGACCTAACAGTGTGGCAGGGAAGTGAGCAAAAGAAAATTTGCTTGGCTGAAAAGGAAGAAGAAAAAGTATTCTTCAATGTACAAGCCCTCATCTCTCACCCTTTAGGAGAGAGTGAATGATTTGCATCCACAATACTCCTGACTTCTCTGTTGCAACAGACTTCTTGTTTTTCACATTGGAAATCTGGCCTATTCCTACTATGAAATATTTATAATTTTGCAATTCTTTGGTCTCATGTTATCAGAGGACATCTGTTTCTCTCTTTCGAGTACTAAATGGCATGGCTGTGGAGATACTATCAAGAAATTGGTATTTCAAGACTGTCACTGCAATTTCTGCCAGACTTCTGGTTAACAGTAGGTCTATATCGGGCCTGTACATTATGTTCCTTTTGAAATAGAAAATGCATCAAATAATAGATTTTTAAAAATCTGTAGGAGAACTAGACTGTCCCCCTCAAGACTCCAATGTGAAACAACTAGAGAAGTAGCCGTCTGAGAACAGTATACCCCAAAAGAATAGCGTACCCCAAAAGAAGAGACAGGGGAGTGGAAATCGGTTGTGTACCTCTACTTAGAAACTGGATTAAGGTCTGTGTTATGTGAGCCATAAGGATAAAAAGTGTTCTTCAAACACTTCACCTTCCATAAGGAATGTCTTTCTAATCTTGCCTCTGTTACTGGGGCTGGATTTGAGAGAACTTGTGCACCTACATGAACAGAGAAAAAAGAGGAGGGCAGTCATACTTCGTTGTCCCTTATATCTTTTTCATGACAATAGCTTAAAGAAATCTAGACAAATACCTGCTCCTTCAGTACTCTTATAAAGAGACTGACCCGGGCAATATTCCTGTCAGATTCTTTATCTAGTATGAACTTCACTTTTATGCCACAAATGGACTAAGTGGTTCACAGAACACAGGCACTGAAATACAGAGCCCATCCGAGTTCAGTGATTCTTGGTCAAGGAAGTGTAGATGTAACTAGACAGAGCTGGAGGTGGGATATAAAACTTCCAGGGCACAGGATGCAGGAACATTGCATAGCTTGCAGGAAGCAGAAGCACTGTATTGTGGCATGTTTTGAGGCTTGGTTGCCTGATCCAGCATGCTCCATATAAAGAGACAAGTGAATAGTTTGAACAAGCCTGTGGAAAAGGATAAAGAGCCTTTAATCTCTGACAGAGCTTTTCCATGTGGGCCTCTCTTATGAGTAAGTGAGAAGAATGATTAGTATTTACATGAAGTTGAAGATCAATGCAATTTCCAGTACAGTTTCAGTTCTTTCATGCTTTTCTTTTAAGACTGTGCAAGTGGTCAAATTCAAATGGCTTCACTGTAAGTAATTGAGATCAAATGCCTGTAAAATCACTAAAAGCTGACTTCTAATTGTCCTTAATTATAAAATGAGTAATTTTAAATGTATGTACTACATGAATCATCTGATTCAAATGTGAGCATGACTTAGGCTAGCAGAATCTTGATAGGTACTCTTATCACTAAAGTAAGAACTGTTTGATGCAACTGAATCAGCCAAAGAATTTGATTTTCCTTTAGCATCTCCTTCTTTCTGTTTGTGAGCCATTCCTGAATTCTGCAGGGAGGTTGAAGTTCCTCTTCCTAATTCTTCCTCACCTTGCATTTTCCCAGTGTTTAGTGCTGTTGCAGAAAAAGAAGCATCTAACTTTCATGAAAATAAAGTAAATTAAAATAAAGAGATCAAAAGCAGGGAGAATTAGAGTTATTTTTCATAACTATTTATGAGACAATTTAGGGGTATTATTTTTCAGCCAGTAGATTATTCATGAATTACTGACTTTGGCTGTTACCCAAATTGTGTTTATCACATTAGTCATGTGGATGACATGTTTTCAGACTAATGCTCCAATAGTCACAAAAACTTCAACGTTTTCTTAAATTTATCTTTTGACAGCAAATCACTTAAGCACATAAATTGAACACATTAAATGCCATTTGAGAAATAATATTTTAGCCTGTGTTCAAAATATAGTACCTGCTAACATGAGAAACTAAACAGAAAGTTTGCTGAATTATATTCTAGACTACTAAAAGTCTGAAGCATAGCCATGGCCAATAACTATTTAAAATTACGATTGTTGTCTCATCTTTATCACACAGAAATATGAGAATAGATATACAAAACAAACATTTCTGCAAATTTTTCAGCCAGAAAAATGCAGACAAGATAAAGTGGCCATTTGCATTATGGCCCCAGCTCTTGCAACACTGAACAGCTCTCAACATAAGAAAACATACAGATTTCTTTTTTTATATTTTTTAGTTACATAGAAAACTTTACTTATCTCTATTGTCCTTGAATGTTTTGTACATTTTAGCAACCCTGAGCTAACAGTTCAGTTCAGTGTGATTTTTCTGTAAATATGCAATTAACACTTTACTAGTTATTTATCTAAGACATCAAATCGGGAAAAGGACACCACACTACCTGGGGAGCAATTAGGCTTACAATGTCATTCTCACATTCAAAAAACTATGCCATGTTTACCCACAAGTATTTGTGGGGGAAAAATTTGCATGCTTCTGCATAAGTACTTTCTTAAAAAAAAATCGTTGAAAAAATGGGGATATAAGAAAAGATGCAAATAATCAGATTATTATTATTACTACTACTACTACTTATTGGTCAGTGCTTCAAACAGATCTGAACACAGCCTCAGAATGGCCATTAGGACGACTAACAGGAAGGACAAAAAACTCTAAATCCCACATCCCACATCATTAATTCTGAGACCTGGACAAGCCTCTTCTGGATACAAACTGTCAAAAACTCAACTGCTCCAGTTCCCTAGGGCAATAAGCAGTGTAGCTGTGACAGGGGAAGAAAAAGAGAGGGGTGCAAGGAAGGTACCTCAGCAGACTGCAAGACAGACCCATATCCTTACCTCTAGAAGAGTCCTCATCCTTGTCACTGAGCAGGCTTTGCTCCTGTGGTTACTACAGTTGTCAACTCTATTTACTTGTTTACTATCAGTCTTCTGTGCCAAGACACACTACTGACTTCAGAGACAATCTCTTCTTCCCAGCTTGCCTGATTGCTGTGGGGAGGAGAGAAGAGAGGAAAAGCTCTGAGAAAAACACCCTTAAAGAAAATGGGAGGGAGAGAAATTGATACATTTCTGCAACTCTCCACCCACCTTCTCTTCCTAACACCTCTACTTCTCATAAACCTATGTATTTTTTTGTTCCCTTCTGCATCTCCCTGTGAGCCTTGTGTCTTTCTGTCTCTTGGAGCTGCACTGAAATCTTTTTGATTAGAAGTACATGATTCTGTATCTCCCCCAGCCTCTTCTCAACTATTCGCGGCTTCTTTTCTCTCCAACAGCGTTACTATCCTGTGCACCCAACAAGCCTGTTTTGGTCTGATATTCTCACTGCTACTAGCTTGTTTCAACCTGCTGCTCTGGGGCCTGGAGGCCTCTGCCTATTGCAAGATAATGTGGGTTATGGATCCTAGTGCTCCTTCTCCCTCAAAAGAAAGGCCAATATGCTGACTATTTTTGCTCTCTCATCTGCATCCAAAAGTCCATTCAAGCGGTGAACACAAATCCATTTCTGATTCTTTTTCTTTTACATTAAGAGTCATAAAAGAAATCGTTCATTACTGATTCTATTTACAGTTGTTCATTGCTTCTCAGGAGATGGCCAGCCTGTGTGTCTTTGTTTCCTTAAGGATGCATAGTGGAAAGATTTGGAAGGGAATTTTCTCAGCTTTGAGGACTGGGAACCAGGATCACTTCCCTGAGACAATAAAAACTGAGTAGTGGATGTTGGGAGTTGAGACCTTCTCAAGCGGCAGCTGGGAGCTCAGAGACATGGTGGGGACCAGTTTGATGTCAGCTTCCCAGATGACTGAAACAAGCAGAATACCAGGACAGAACCGTTTACCTCCCCACCTTGCTAGTCTCTCAGGGGAATATGATGTCTTGGTTCACTAGTCTGAAGATAATTAGATTATCTGTTCAGTTGTTCAGAGCTTCCCAAATCTTTGATCTTGCTCCTGAAATCCAAATCTTCTTCCCGTCTGCATTGGTCTGATTTTTTCCCTATTCCTGTAGTGCTTGCATAATTTCTTAACATCTTTGATTATACTGTGACAACAGACTTATATGTGGCTGAAACCAGTTACTTACAATTCTTGCTACCTCTCAGGTCACTGGCAGCTATATATTTCTACATTTACCAAACAAACAGCTCTAAATACTGTAAAAAAGGTCCTTGCATACTGCAATAAAGGTCTTTGCTGACCTTTCTTTCCTTGCAAGAGGTCTCTTCCCTTCATCTTAACATCAGAATCCAATCTGCAAATACTTCTTCCATAAATGATTGAGATTCGACTTGGTGGAAATAACAAGACACTCATGTGGTAGTCACAACTCTTGCATCACTGAGAGGAGCATTACTGTGATCCATACTGTCCAACAGATAGAGAGGTGCTTTGTTCATTGTGGCCTAAATTAATTTACAGCTAGTCAAATCCCAAATCTTTGTGCAAACTGAGAAATGGGAATATGTAATCAAATTCAGCCCTTATAATTCTTTGTTTCAACATAGCTTTAAGTCTTCCATGTGTTTCTGCCACATTTGCCTTTGAGCCTTTTCTACTCTTCCCTATTTTACATCTTTTCTCACAACAGCTACAGTTCTAGTACTCTTTCGCAAATGCTTTTCAGTAGTTGCACTGTATAGTAAAGACAAAGAAATGGTATGCAAATGTGTGTTAACTATAAGTAATCTTACAGTGGAGATATCTTTGTAAACTGACTGGACAAATTTGTTCATGACAATGTGCAGTTTATTTATCTGTCTTATCTATGTGTCTGAACACTTCCATCTTCATAATTACAGCATCTAACAGCGCCCAAACTTCAAGTAATAAAGTTAATTCTTCCTTGTTTTTTTTCTAACGAACACTATCTAGGCTTTAAAATTTCTCTGGGCAAGGAATGTATTGCCTTTTTGATTATAAAATGGCTATGATGGTTTTGAACACAATGTAATTTAAATTAAGGCAAGTAATAAAACCTTGGCTGAAGTATTCAGTTTTAAAATGAAACTTGAGAAGACCAAATAAGTCTTTTGGTCAATATGCCAATGGAATATGATTGGTGTTAACACAGTTTCATGAACCAGTATCTTTTAAACAGGTCCTCTACCTACTCTTGATTAAATGTAATTTTACCACATAATTAGACAAAACGTTACATTGATATTGCCACACTATACGGATTGTCACACACACACTATCTAGAAATACTTTGAATGTGTATGTATGGACAATTTTTTCCAAACCTTGGAAACTAATCAGGACACATCTTGAAAAGTAGTTGGGTCACAACCTCATTGTAAGTGTGCATAGGATGTTTCAGGAAATGAAATGCACATCACTTTCTCAGTGAAGAGCATGGGTCTTTGAATTAGTACATGTTTCAGTGGTGCTGTGACGCTGAGAAAGCTGTCTTGCAAGATCTGGCATGGAGGTGGTGTTCACTTTCCTAAGTCATCACAGACCATAATAACACTATATACTGGATCTAACAGAGGCTACTGTTGGATTCTGTTGGAAGAGTGTGCTCCTGAGTAGCATTCTGCTGCAATAGAGTTTGTTAAATAATTCAGTAGGAAAGTTGAACTGTTATGGAGAGAATCAAGTTGTTAAAACTTTTATTTATTCCACAATTCATGTCTCTCTTTGGAGAGAATGTGAATTTATTTCACATAGATGTTCTGTGTGTTTGTGCTCTGAGATATCCATGTGTAAGACATATTTTATCCAAAATTATATGACGCACACTTCAGAAAAAATCTGTTTGACTGTGGTCATTGGCTGAAGCTGAGTAATTCAGACCCTGTACTTTTCTTGCATCTATCAGAGTACGGACAGAGCACATTTGCATCTGGCAGCAATAAGCCAGGGAAGCATATATTACATTTTCCACACAACCAATTGGATATGGAAGTCTTCTTCAGGTTAGGTAACACCGAACAATGTAATGTCTGTATATGCATTTAAGCCTTGAAAAAGGTCTACCTTGGAGGGCATTACTTGATGGCAGTGTGCATGACGTCTTTCTTGAATATACAGTCTGTAGAGCTTTGGGGATCTTGTGACCTGAGTATGTGAAGTATTCACGTATGCAAGAATATGGAGCTGTGTATGTGTGGTTGTTTTTTCCTGCTAGCACATAAGTTTCTTTGAAGACGCCTTTATCAACTACTGAAAGTGAAGACAAAAAGTTTCCCTGTAAACTTTTTCTAACTACAGAAGCAGGAAGAGGGGTTGGGGGGTATGGGGGCGGGGGGAAGACGTCACAAGTAATCCTTATCAACTGATTCCCTTCTTATCTTCAAGGCACAGATGACAGCTCTGCTCTCTTGAGTCCACAAACTAGTGAGAGGACCTCTGGCATTTTTCTCTGTGACAGACTCTTTCTTTTCTCTATGCAGTGCATTAGCTTCTCCAAATGTAACGCTGATCAGCACATTGAAAAGAATACAGTGTTGGACATGCCTTCCAGCTGTCATACACAAAAATGTTTAATGGCAATTATCTTTTAGATACCTCTTAGACTTAAATAGATGTATGATTCAAAGAAATGTGGAATTATTAAGTGCATTGATGTGTGTTTGACAGATGTTGTTGCAAGCATTTCTTATACATTCAAGATGGTGACGAATCTGGGCAGATTTCAGAAAATTATTTTCTTAATATCTGTCCGGAAGTGAAATTGAATTGGGACTTTGATCTTCTACATTGTGTGAATAGTAAATTCCCCTGCCACAGTGAAGTTTTGCTTGATAGATCGATATTCCAGCTTCAACCTTCCAAAAATATGTATGTACCATAGACTGCACAAAAAAACTGCCAGCTTTATGTAATTAAACTAAAAAAAGAGCATTAGAAAAACATGATGCAGCAATGTTAATGCCACCGGCCATCTTGAAAACTCATGTGGAAAGGTTATCACTCACAAAGAGACTGTACTTAGTTTTAAAAATAAACTTGTCTAACTCAAGCTTTTCTACTTCAAACGGTCACTGATGGTGCTAGCAGTAACCAGTGTGTTTTGTGGATTAAAGCAACGTGAAAGAAATTCTCATTTATATGAAAGACTGTCTGCCAAAGGTTAGTAATAGTTTTGGTAAAAATCAAAAGCACAAATTTGTTTTGAAAACATCAGAACACTGTAGCACCTTCACTAGAGAAGCTCAGAAAACCGGGGGCACGATAACCTGAGAGCCATCCATTGTGGATGGGAGGATTGACGGCAGGTTAAATTCATTTTAAACAGCCCAGAATTGGAGCTGTCAGTCAGGGATCTAGCAGAGTGTTCTAACTGCCCCATGGATGACACAGAGAGATCCCTTCTGGGGCAAAAATGCTCTCAGAGACTCTTAGTCACATCTGCAGATGGGAACTTTTCATTACCTTTTTTTTTCCGCGAGATACTTGCTCTCTTATCTACCTTCAGTCCATCAGGTACATCGAATCATAGAGTCACAGAATAGCTAAGCTTGGAAGGGACCTTTTAAAGATCATCTAGTCCAACCCCCCTGCCATGGTCAAGGGCATCTTTCACTAGATCAGTTTGCTTAAAGCCCGATCCAACCTGACCTTGAACACTTCCAGTGATGGGGCATTCACAGCTTCCCTGGGCCACCTGTTCTTCCAGTTTCTCTGGACCACTTGTCCAACATCTTTATTCAGGAAAAAGGACTGAAAAGTCACTGATAGTTCTAACCACTAACATCAGTCAAAAGACTTTAGGTTCAGAGGAGGCAGGAAGAAGGGGAAAGACCAAAGGTTGTAACCATGGACGAGCTCAATGTGTGGTAGTTCAGTTACCTGGTCGAATCTGTTAAAGATGATGAGAAAAAAGGTGGGATAGTCTCACCTGTGTGG